AGTTATCATCAGCAGGCAGCACTTCCTTGGGAAGGGCTGGCTCTAGGGCTTGTGTCACTACAATGTGTTTCCTTTCATTCCAAGGGAAAAAGGCTGGGTTTAATGATTAACAACCATTCCTACCCCTCGACTGGCCGGGCAGCCTGACGTGATGTGGTGTAGCTGGAAAGCACAGGAAGGTCAGCAGCCCCACTGCACTGGCCCAGAGACAAAAGGCTTCAGTGTTCTTGAAAAGAATTTAAAACATTTTACATCAAAAGGCTGCAGGAGTTGAAACACATCACCTCCAACCTGTGGCACAGGATGGGACAGGGTTTGTTAGGAGGGCTGTGGAGAGGGGGGGAGCAGCACTGGGCAGGTGCTTGGCTGCCTAGATGATCTTTGAGCTTTCTGTACATCTCCTGTATAATTGACTCACTCCATAGTGCACTGGGAACAAGAAACATAACCCACATGAGCTTTTGTATCACAAAAATAGCTGGCAAACAGCATCAGAGCTAAAATCAGAAGGTGGTGAATGTTCTGCTCCTCAGCTGGCAGCTCCTGTTCTTGCAGTGATGGCTGAAGCCAGAAACAGAAACAAACAGGAGCACCAGGTAACTGGACCCCAGCTGGGCCAGCTGCTGCCTTCATGGAGATTTTGACTCTGCCATGGGTGGAGACACGTAGCAGCAGCCACTTCATCCACAGGTTACTGCTCATGACCAGGTCCCTACAGGGTAGGGATGACTTTAGTTCGGGGCTTGAACCAGTGCTTGTCATTCAAATAGAGCTCCTGGGTGTGAGAAGTGTCTGTGCAGTCATGTCAAACACAGGATCTGAAGAGAGAAGTGATGTAGGCACTGGGAAACCCTGGGCAGGGAACTGCACACGTGGGAAAGCATCACAGGGAAGTGTGGAGCCCAGAGGGCCTGGGCTGCTCTCAAAGTGTGCAAGAAGGGATAGAAGTGGTTGCTCTGATGTGAGTGTTTCAGTGTTGCCCCAACAGCCATGGATCAGACCCCCTGCCTGCAGCTCTGCAGGGCCTTCTTGCTGCCAGGGCTGCTGACGTTTGCAGCACAGGTGTGAGGTCAGCCCTCAAGGAGATGTCCCAGGAGCTGGGCACTGTCAGAGCCACTGCCTGCATTGCTGTGCATGGGCTGGGGGGTGACTCCTGTACCTCTGGATGGACCTTCCAGTCCTCCAGGGTTTACAGGCATGGATCCAGCCTCCCCAGGAGCCCTGCTCCATGTGATATGTGCTCCTGGGCCATGCCACAAGGCCACATGGCTGTGTCCTCCCACCCCTTCATGGCAGTGTGGTTCCCTTGTCCTGGTGTCTCCAGCAACTCTTAGCCAGGTACCAAGTTTAGATACTTCCAATCTGAACTGGGTGCTGGTCCTCAGCCCAGATGGAGTGAAAGGCTCTTTATCCCATCTCTCCTTCTCATGTTTGTTTGATCCTTCCCACAAGTTTTTCTTGTGCCTTGGGTTTCACTCCGCTGGTGCCTTCTGCCTGCTCATGCCATGGCTTGAAAGCTGAATAGGCTGCTTATCCAAATACACCCAAATGGATCCCTGTAATTCCCTCTGAGTTCTGGGGGCACTGGGTGATTCACAATAATTTTCTGATTTTGTGCAAAGGTAAAAATGCTTCAGCTGTAATTCAGTGCTGACCTTCAGGCCAAGCCAAACTGGGAGGACAAGCCCAGGTTAGTGTCTGGGATTCCTCTGGTCCTTGAAGCTGGGCTCTGAGTCATGCAGGGCAGCTGGAACTGTGCTCACCAGGGCTCCTAGATGCCTTCCCCCTTGGTGTTCCAAGAGAAGTAAAGAGACAAAATTATATTAATGAGAGCCTTGATGCTTAACCAAGGTAGGGATCCTGAGGAGAGGTGGGTGCTGACTCTTCTGCTAATGGGCTAAGTGCAGATGAGTATTTCAGGTGTTGTATTTATTCAGGCAGAAATGACATGCTGCTCTTCTGGAGGTGCTTTTTGTCAAAAGCAAGAGTTTTGTTCCCTGTGGTGTGTGGTGGCATTTCCTCCTCCCCTGTACTTTTCTTATTCTGGTTAATTAAACTGGTGTAGTCAATTCCAACTCCTTTTTTTTCTTTGTTGGTTTAGGGTTTTTTTGAATTTTCTTGAATTTTTTAATTTTAATTTCACTGCTGTGGTGATTTACTTCAGTTTATTTAGCATTTTAAAATGGCTTCTGTTTAAATTTGGAAGGGAAGAAAAAGAAATCTGCTAAATATATTTCTATTCAGATCATATGTTGTGGCTTTTCTCTTTTTGAAGAATGAGGTCTAATTTTTGAACCTGAATTCACTTGGCACTACCCTTGGCTTCAGCTATGCTGGGTTTCCTTTTGTTTTAAACTAATTCCCTTTTTCCTACTGCTGAGCTCCATTCATGTCTCCATGCTAACAGAACTTCATGCATGTGTTTGGTTTGAAAGTGTTCAGCTGAGCAGAGTTAAGTGTCTGCACAATGTTTGAGGATGGGGCTCTAAGTGTGGTTTATGGTGGTCCTTGCTGTGGACCTGAAGTGTTGCCAGTCCCTACCAGGTCCCCAAGCACACCCCCTTCACATCCATCTTTGCAAAAAAGATGCAGCACGTTTGTTTATTTATTTCTTTTCATTTAATTCTCTGTCCTCCACTCTGGGAAGCTGGGGCCTTGTTCCTTTCTGGGTATAGCACAGTTTTTTGAAGGTAAGGAAGGTTATTAAAGACTTGCTGCTTTTGGAAGAGAGAAAAGGTAGAAAGGAGCAGGAAGATACAAGGTGTTTTCAATAGCAAAGGAATTATCTGTTTTTAATAGGCTAAAACTTTATCTTAAACTGGGCTAGAATGTTTCTCAGTGAGGAATGCATGACTGAGAAACACAGAAAAACAGCTGAGGAAAAAAACTAGCTAAGAAAAAGAGAGATTTTGTGTGATTTCTGAAGAGCTCTGTGACTGCTTTTTGTCCTCAAAGCTGTGTTGGATGGGTCATCTGAGCTCCTTGGCCTTCAGAGGGTTTTGAGATAGGTTTGTTTGTGTATCTGAACTTCTTACAAATACCTGGGTGTGTTTCTTGTACTCTCCTGAAAAGGTTTTCTTGAGGCCAGGGGACTGTGAGGCTCTTTATCTCCTCCAATCATAACACCACTTGTTTCAGATTTTCTGTTACTGTCACTTGAAAGTTTCATCTGTTGTAGCAAGCAAGAACAAAGGGCAACACACTTCAGAGCAGAGCTTTGAATAAAATCTTATGCCTATAGAAACTGGGGGATGCAAAACCACTGTCCCAGCAAGCAACCACAGCTAGGTCATATGTGTGGATTAAAGAAAACAAATCCTTAGCATGCATGGTGGCAGAGGGTGTCATGGATATGGGAGATGTGATTGATGGTGGAAACCTTAATTTTTGGCCACGTTCTGAGGTCAGTTTTTTGAGTAAAACCTGCCTTGCTGAGTCAGACTGTGCTCTGAGTGTAACACAGTTCCAGCCCAGCTTCAAGTCCAGGTACTTGGGTGGATGTTGATCCTGTTTGTGGCTGTATCTGTCTCATGGGGAGTGTCTGAGTTTGGTGCCCTTACCCAGGTTTGAGGTGCTTTAGTTCTGCCTGGTCCTTCTGCTTGTCTTGGGGGATGAGACTGAAAGGGAGGAAGGAGTTTGGGGGGGGTTCACCTTTTTTTTTTTTTTTCTTTTAAGTATTTTATAAGAAGTAGAACTTGCAGTGAGCTGCTGAGGCAAATGAAGGCCAATGAACATGGGGCTGTGAGGAGACTCTGCACAGCCTCTCACCCCACTTCAAAGTGCCCAAGGCAGAGACATTGTGCAAGGACATCATAGAGATGGAGGTGCAGGTCTCTTCTCACAAGTAAATAACGGTAGGACAAGAGGGGACATCAGGGGAGGTTTAGGCTGGACCTCAGGATTTTGTTTTTCTCTGAAAGGGTTGTCAGGCATTGAACAGGCTGAGCAGGGAGCTGGTTGAATCACCATCCCTGAAGGTGTTTAAAAGTCATCTAGTTGTGGTGCTTGGGGATATGATTTAGGGGATATGAGCAGGGTTGAAGGCTGGGCTTGATGATCTTAAAGGTCTTTTCCAACTTAAATAATTGTGATTCTATGATGCAGTCCCTGCTTGGTGGAGCAACACCCTGGGGTGGCTCAGCTTTGACGCCCAGCACCCCCCAAGCCCTGTCCTTTGCCCTGCAGACCTTGCAGCCTGCCCTTCACCCTGGGGCAGCAGTGACCATGCAGCCCTTCACCCACAGCCCTCCTCTCCCTCCTGCAGCCCCATCCCTGCTCCAGCCCTTGCCGGTGGGTGCCCGGGGTGCCCCCCTGCCTCCCGTGCCTGCAGAGCAGCTCTGAACCTGCCCCTCGGAGGCTGGAGCTCCGCTCATTAGCTGCTGTTTGCTGAAACCGGATACCTGGGGCACCCCAGCCAGGAGCGGAGTCCCCTGGCTGCAGCTTTTTAAAAGGACAAGGGCAGCCTTACAATTCCCACCTCTTTCACATCCATGTCCCTCCCAGCGCCCGGTCCCAACCTCTCTTCTCTCCTGGATCCCTGCAGCATCCATGACCCACGAGTGGAGCGACGGCCCGAGGGAGACCTGCCCGCGCCAGCCCCGGGGAAGGATTATCTGTTGAACTTGGGGGACCCCCAGCCTTGCCAGAACCCCCCCCTGGCTCTCTCCGGGCCCGGCAGGCACCCCCTGACCCCAGCGCAGGACACACCTTGAGGCTGAGGGGGCAGGAGGGAGGAAGAGGGTTGGGTTTATTTTTTCACTCCTTTTGCTTTTTTGCTTTTTTTTTTCATTTTTTTTTCCCCCTTTTTAATGAGGATTATTACTATTATTTGCTAAGAAGCAGGACCCGCGGGCAGCTGCTGAGACAAAGGAAGGGCAGAGGAGAGCGGGGCTGCCCGGGGACTGTGCCCAGCCCCGCACCGCGCGGCCAGGTAAGTGCCCAAGGCAGACACCTGGGGAGCAGCCAGGGCTGCAGGGAGGAGCTGGGGGGGCTGCACCCACCTGCCTGAGGGAAGCCCGTGGAGCTGAGGGGGTGGCCGTGTCCTGGTGTGGACAACAGGGACCTGCTGGTGACCCTGGGGAGGGCAGAGCGGTTGGGTCCCAGCTCGGGGGGGCTTGGCAAGAGGTGGTAGAAGAAAGGGTAGAAGGATGTAGGTTTGACCCACGTGCCAAAGTCCTCTCTCCTGGCAGGGCTGGTGAAGTGGGCTTGGGATCAGAACTGCTCTGCTGGACCTCGTGTAAGAAAAGTCGTTCCCTCCTCCTCCTGGGGTCCAGCCCCCATCCCTGGGTGGTTGGAGGAGAAGGGGTCTGGAGGTGGCCTGGTGGCCTCACACCCAGCCCTCCAGTTGCCTTTCTCCCTGTGGGAGCAGGGCAGGGTGAGGAGAGCAGGGGGGCTTCTCTCTCATGGGCCTGAGCCCCCTCCACAGGCTCCCAACTGCTTCTGCCCAGTGCTGAGCCCAAGGAAAAGCCACATCAGGTACCTTGTAGCTCGTGTCCTCTGCCAGCCTGTGGTGAGATGTGGGGTGAGGAGGTGGGAGAGGTTCATGGCCCCCCTGGCAGGTGGGTGCAGCCTGGCACCCAGCCCCACCATCTCCCAGACCGGGGGGCCTTGTGTCTCTTCTCCACAGAGCCAGGACGGGTCTCCCAGTGCTTCTCAGCAGCTTTGCTGGCCAGAAGAGTTTCTCTTTTTAAATTATTTATTTACTTTGTATTATTATTTTTTTTTGGTAAGTGCTTCGGTGTTACAGAGGAGGGCAGCAGAGAGAGGCAGCAGGGACATCCTTAAATCATTTTCATTTCTCCAAATCTGCCTTTTCCTCTTCTCTCTAAGTCCAGAGGAGAGATCCTTGGGGGGGTGGGAGGCACATCTGCACGGCAAATAAAAATAATCGTTACAACCACCAACCAACCAACAACAACAAAAAAAAAAAAAAAAAAAAAAAAAAAAAAAAAAAAAAAAAAAAAAAAAAGCCCCGACACTTTTAAATCAAGAGCTTTGGAAAGCAGAGATCACAGAAATTTGTACTGTTCATAAGGAGGGAAAAAAAGAGGGAGGCGAGAAATCCAGCGACCATGGGCCAGCCCGGCTTCCTAGCGTGTACTTTCTGTTCTCTCTCCTTTTTCCCAAGGTAATTGCAGTCTGCCGAGAGGGAGTTAAATGGGATTAAAAGATCTGTGTAAGCAAAAGGACCCAGAAGAGAAGGAGGAAGGAGTGAGCCGTCCGGGCCAGGGGGTGCCTTTGACACAGCTGAGCCCCTTAGAGAGGCAGAGAGCTGAGCTCCTGGGAAGGATGTACCCACAAACCGGCCTGTCCCCCTTTTTCTGATGGATTGCAGCAAAAATTGCCCGAAAGAGACAATGCACTAAAACGTGATGGAGCCGGAATCAGAGCCGGTCTCCAGACTCAGAGCTACAGCAGCAGGCAGGGGGTGAGTACAAAGTCCGACTTCTCCCGGCGCTGGGGAAGGGGCATCCCGGGCTGGGCTGGGGGCTCCGGGGGGCCGGGGGATCCCGGGAG